TTTAAGTTCTCTAAGAAGAAGTCTCATCGTGGGTACCGTCTTTCAGAAAGTTTAGTGGTAAATCTCAATAGAAAAACCTTTGAAGAAGCAATGTTCTTCCTTGTTTCACTGAATTCTGGTAGTACCACTTCCAGGAAATAATCCTGTTTCTTGAACAGAGCAATGGACATGCAATGATGTAATTTTAAAGTTGTGATTTTTTAAAATTCTGTTCAATTTTCCTATCACTCAATGATTATTTTAAACTGGAATATATATGTAGATTCTATAAGACGTTACTGAATCTGTCTTGGGAGACGAGAGCAAAAGGATTCAGTTTTTCAACTTAGCAAAGTGGAGGCTACGATGATAATCAGCTTGCTCTCAAGGAAGGAGGTACCAGGCTATTTAAAATAAAAGACAATCCTGTTGTCCACATAGGAAAGGACATAACCTGGTTTTGGGTGTATTTGGGCTGGAAACTAAGGGGAGCTTTTTCTCTGTGGGAGCCATAAGGGTTTGGAAGGTGCTTCCACTGTGGGGTCTTTGGATGGAAAAGAGACACAGTTTTGAGATTGACCTCAGTCAAGTGCCAGTAGGGCTTTTATCCTCCTGTAGCAGAGACTCAGCTGTGATGACCCTTTAGATCCTCCTTGCCTTCTATCTTTTGGCTCTCGAACACTGCAGAGGTCTCTGACACTGCTGCACAATTGCAGCATTTCTCTAAAAGAACAGGATGTGATGGAGCCTTCTTTGGAAATGAAATTTTGGCTTTACGTAACTTTTGGAAAACATAAATTTTAAGCGTGGAAGACAAGGGGCCTCCTTATGCGAGAGTTAAACTTTGATAGGAATTAATCTCTATTTGGGAGTTAAAAATTACTGGTTCGTTTTGTTCTTGGTTCCTTCATTTACGATCTTACTTATACACAGCTTGCAGTTGTGCTGGAGCAACATTTTCTCTCTTAGCCACAGCAATTATGGGACCCATAAAAGTTCCTAATGTGTGTTAAGGCTGACTGAAGAATCATGGAAAGCCATTTACCCTCTGTCTTGATACCCCTACAGACATTTTCATAGATACGCTGAAGATAATGTAATACTTTGATCTTCATAATTATGATTGTTCTTTTATTGGTAGCTCTCTAATTGTCTGCACGTCAAGACCAGTTGCTTTGCATATGTTATTGAGACTGAGTCATCATTATTAAAAAATAAAAATTATTTTCTCACAGGGTGTGATTCCTTAGTCATATTTTCCTCATTGGATTGTTGAAATGCACTTTTATTCTTCCCTATGAGATGTTTATTGCTGATTGGCATTAATGCCAGAGGTGTTGATTTTATATCTGCTTCTCGGCATTGTTGCATCATAACATCTGACCCAACAATTCCAAACATTTCCCAATGCTGTAATTTCATACCATCAACAGACACTTTGTCTCTGTCTCTCTGTCCCTCTCTTCTTTTTTTTAATTTTTTTGAATAGCTGATCTAACTACGCTTGCTGCTATAACTGTATCACAAAGAAACTTCTTTAGGCTTTCTAGTCTGGAACTCATGGGTAGTTCCATGTCTCCTATGCATTTTTGGTCCACCGTCTTTGGACACAGCTCTTTGGCCTGAGATGGCTCTTGCGGGTCAATTTGGACATACCGATTTACTTCACAAGCTGAAAAAGGCAGGTCCCTTAAGGTGCCACTAACATTCATAACCCTTGCCATGACAGAAAAAGGCCAGACATTTTCTGTTGTAGAGGGTATAGAGGCTCCTCAGCCATTTGAAGAGACTGTTAGAGTGTTGAAATCATATCTTCCCCTGTAAGACTTGTTGCTCATAACACACCTTAAGGACCTCTGTAAATCAGAGAAGTTTGTTTGAAGTAACAGCGTTATGAAGCCTTTCCAAGTGCTGTTTGCTCACTGGTGAAATTGGATGCAGAGCCACAAACAGATACTCCGAATTGGCAAAAGCACCTAAAGCAGTCAGTGGTTTTCACAAAAGCTATGATGCCATTGCTGGATCTATGTCTTTAGTCACACAAGAGGGAGAGGACAACCTCAGAAATAATTAGTGGTAATTAATTGTTCTACAACAAATGAGTCAACTGTGGTCTTGGTAAGAAGAGTGCTACTCCCATGAGTTTCATCAGGAACTCCATCTGTGTGTTCCTCATCCATCGCCCACCACCCTTCAGCCCCACTCGCCTGCGCGTTTCTCCAGTTTGTTCAGAGATGAATGATTTCCATAGCCCCAGATTCTGTTCTTCTTTTTCTCTTATGTGACTCCCTGGGATGGACCTTTATACTTTGCACATGTATGGGTCTACAGAAAATCCTATTAAATGGGAGCTATTTTAATCTACAGTCTACCTAAAATGAGTTCAGGAGCCCTTCCTACCACTGAAACAGGAAAAGATTAAAAGTAATTCCCAAGAGAAATTAAGCTCTTTCAGTGTAGCAATCCTCTCCTGTTCTCTTTCTCGCTACCTGCTAGAATATGCTGTTATTATCAACGATGTTAACCGAATTCTAAATTCCTCCCTGCCAAAGCCCATTTTTTCGTTCCTGTAGATCTTCTCAGAACAATAAGAAACTATTGCTTTTTCTAAGAACCATGGATGAAATGAAGTGAAGTGAGTGCTAGGAGCAGACAGTGATATCAGGATACCTGATCGAACAGATCACAAGGTTTCTGGAGCATCTGCCAGCCTGAGATGGAGGCAGTGAAGCACACTGTGCTTTTGGCGTGCCTATGGCGTGTTCCCTGCGTTTCCCTGGGACGGCCCGTGCCCCGTCCTGAGACGGAGGTTGGTGCCTCATGAATCAGTGGTGAGGTGCAAAGGGCGTTGCACTGTCAGCAGCGGGAGGGCTCCAGCGGTGACCTCATCCTGCTGCAGTGACGGGCAGTTTTGCAGTGCGTCCACTCCTTTCAGTCTGAACATTTTGCATAGCTTTGGTTCTGCGGATTTAACTTAAGACTCTTCCCGGTGCTGCCTGTTTCACAAAGACCGTACGCTCTTACAGATTAGTTCAGAAATGGGGAAAGACTTACTGCAACTCTGGTGTTCCCTTGAGTTCTCTGGATGTGGAAGACTGCATTTTTGGTCATTCTGATACTTCTCTGTGCTTCTGGAAGATCAGAAAGAAGCAAAATAACCTTTCAGCACTTATTTATATACACTAACTGTAGTTTGAGTTTCCATAATCCTGCCTCAAAAAAGATGTCTTCTTTAGCTGTTTTGCCTGTTAAGTACAGCTGAGACGTGAATGAATTCTGGCAGCCTTTGGAGATGAAAGTCATATTTGCATTTGCTTTACATCACTTTCTATACTGTTGAAACCTGAAATGAACTTTTTTTTCCTTTGGAGAAGGGGTTTTGTTCATACAAATTCCTGATGCTGGACTGGAAAGGTCAGTTTGGAAACGTGGTTTTTCAACATGACTAGAAAGTGTGTCTGCTTTGTGGATAATTGCTGCAGACCACAGGTCGGGTATTGTGATGGCAGAGCCAAGCCGTACGATTGCTGAAAGAAGACCTAACCTAGATAGTACTCTTGCAAGTTGTTTATGGTGAGAAAACCTTTCATTTTGTTACCCTAACAGAACAATACCCTCAGTCTTAGGTGAAACAGCAAATACTAGAGACCAGATTTGGTAGGTGGAGGGGGGAACAGACACTTATAATTGAACCTGGCTGGTCCTGCCCATCTGATGCACACAGTTACAGGTTGAAAAGGGGCTTCACTGTCATCTTCAGAAAGCAGAATATGTATAAAATAGCTGTTCTAATTTACTATTGCCCTCTTATCTCCCATTTTAATGCATATTTTATCTTCTTAAGCAGAAAAATACAGAAAATACTTTCAGTGGATGAAATATGTGCCTCATTCCTCTTAAGGCATAGTATCAGCCAATCGAGTGTACTGACAAAAACTGGGTTCTTGGTATTATACTGGGATTTAAATTGAAATTTCTGTCATAAAACATAGGAATGTTTTTACTGTGTGACACTGAAGGAAACAGTCGCATTGCCTTGTTGCCTGTGTTTCCTAACAGAAGTTAGCAATACGTAATTCTTGGTGTAGTCAAAGGTGTAGAAATATGTGATGTCAGGAAACCCGTACGTACTGGAACACCTATACTGAGTCACACCTTCTCTCAGGAACTGTGGCTGCGACGGCCTGAGTAAAGCCAAAGATTAATGGACTCAGGTGAGTCATAGTAGCAGCTTTGAGCACAGTTTAGTACAATAACAGTTAATTAAATAATCTTCAGGGAGTTACCCATCATTGGTATTTCCTTTCTCCTTTCACTCGCATCATTCAGAGCGCCTTTAGTAAAAAGCAGCAAGGCAAAGGGGCAGAGAGCAGTCTGTTTGTAGCCATTAGAAAACAAAATGGTAAATGGCTTTTAATTTCACAGGAAGGAGAAAAATTGTGTTGAGAATGGATTTCTGTTTTCACCCTTATGGCTCCTGCTTTTGAGCAGAGTTCTGACGGTCTGAGCTCACTGACAGTTCCCATGGGCAGAGCTGGGAAGATGTCACGCTTCATACTGCCCTCACACAGCCGTGTGCAGAATTACTGACATTTCCTTTTACTCAGTGATGTTATCTCAGCATGCTGTCCATTTTCTTAATGCAAAATAGGTTGTTCTGAGACTGTTACAAAGTATGATAAGACAATCTGTATTTGATCAGTTAGCTTGACAAATACCCGTTCAAAGTTTGCTAAATTAAATCTCAGACACATTGGTTTTTGCATTGCAGAAGTAAAGTTTTATTTGAGGCAGTGTTATCAGCAGAATTGAAGCCCTTAAACAAAAAACCCATTGGCAAAGACAAGTTGAGTAAGAGAAGCATTGCAGTATGGAAAAAGGGGTGACGAGGCAGGAGACGAGGCACTCCTTCCGAATAGTTCCAGTGGCATCAGCTGTGCTGCACAAGTTCCTGGTTCAGTCTCTTGTTGTCCATGTTCAGTGCCTCTTAGCTGGAGGATGCCAGCATCACTGCCATTGCTCTAGCACACTCTTGACTGTCCTGTGTAAAGACAGAGCAAATCATTGCCATAAGGGGAAATCTCATCTTTCCCGCTGAACTGAATTCTTTCACCTAACGTGCAGTGTTACCAAGAGAAGCTCAGAGGCTCCAAGCCCAGCAATACCCTAGACACTTTCTCAGAACTGAATTTCTTTTATTCCAATGACCAAAAAAGTATATTCTATCCTGTAAAGTTTATAATCTGTGTTTTATATTTAGGTAGAGGGAAGGGCAAGACTTAATGTATTTCCACGCCTGATTCCTCCGTGACGGAGTCGATGAGGTTCTCTCACGCCTGGGCTACTGGACCTGGGAATCTTGCCCAGCCCAAAATACAAAACGTTTTTTCTGACAGATATATTGTACCCATTGGGGTAGATGTAACCCACTAATAAACATGTCCTTGCAAAGTCTTGTCTTACCGGTCATGTCACCACACTGGGAATGAGCGAAGGAAGTAGAAGAATATGAATGGGAGGATTTTCCACCTGCTTGGAAAGCTGCTTGGGAGGCACTGTAAAAGAAACATAATTAATTCACCAAAAACTGCCAACCACTGAATAGTCAGTCAAAAATATGTGGATGTAGCTCCATCGACAAGAAGTCTCTTAGCAATGAAGTACATCAGGATTTGTTTTTATTCCCTTGCTATTATATGGGATACGTACACAATGTCTTGCTGTCCCTCCTGCAGCAGTGCCCGGTACTGCGCAATCTCCTGCTCCAGGCGGGTCTTGATGCCCAGGAGCATCTTGTACTCCTGGTTCTGACTCTCCATCTCGCAGCGGATGCTGGCCAGCTCCTCCTCTACGGAGTTAATCTGCCCTTGGATTTGTTGCAGCAGGCAGCCGTAGCGAGATTCGGTTTCTGCCAGGGAGTTTTCCAGAGAGTTTTTCTGGAAGTGGAAGTGCAGGAGTTCAGGACCAGAGCTCTACCCCTGCCTGCCCGTTCCGAGGAGGGAAGGGCCCTCAGCGATCCTGCCCCACGTACCGTGCTGAGCTGCGCCTGCAGTTCGATCTCCAGGTTCTGTATTTCGCGCCTCAGTTCGGTGAGCTGGTGGCTGCTCGTCTGGATGTCCTGGCTGCTGGAAGTGACCTGCCGATTGACTTCTTCAATCAGCAGGAGTCAAACCC